TTGTTTTCAAGCTTAAAAAAGTAATATACCAGAATAACTCCATATGTTTTTCAACATACGTGTAAAATGGGCTCAATACGCCAAAACGCATCGAAAACCCGTATCACGCACACTACACAAAGACTGTGACGTAGTACGCGAATTTCATCCATACGCATACGGATACGGAGTTTGCCCAAACTGTCTAATGACGTATTCGTATACGTTTTCAATTTCTTATAGTTGTGAAATCTCCCTATTTAGTGATTCGAAAACGTGAGGTTGGAGAAATAGTGGTAAAGAAGAGGCACGATTATTGGTCAGTGCAGTGAACGTAACTATGATATACATGACCATAGAAGATCTTGCTTGAGTAGCCTAATCAAGACTTTTTACAGAATGAAAGACATGACAGAGTTTTGGTTTCACTTACTGTTTGACTTTGCTGCAGCACCTTTGCCTTTTGAAAAAGGCCATTTCCTCCTACTACGTTTGTTCGAAGATTTAGCGTCTGCTGTTCCGTCTTCGTCTTTCTTTTCCTCACCCCCTTCCTCTGCCTCAGCATTTGCTGCTGGTGCGTCCTCTGCCTTGGTCTCTTCCTTTGCTCTGAAATTCATATTCTTTAATTAGTATATACAGTATGATATTTTACAAGAGGAGCTGATTGTCATCCTACACATTTCAAGGAACATCTCTTAATTAATTTCGAGGACCAGCAAAAATTACTATGAATTTAAATGGACATCCCCAAAGTCCGACTGAACACTTACTACCATTGATTTTTGTATTTTGGAGATGCTCAATAAATTTAATCAAATCAAAGTGAAATAATAAATGAAAGTATGAATTAAGCTAAAATGATAAATCATTATTGGTGTTTTTTGTTTGTTTTGTTTATTTGGGCATTTTAAAATCATGCACTGTAATTAAACTAGGTTTGCTTATGAACAGCTGCAATTCTTTTCGAAACAGTTTAAGTGGAACTTGATCGTACCAGCAACATCAGAAAAAAATTCTTGGTTATGTGCTTTTGGTTGTAGTCTTCATAAAGATTCAACAGAAAAAAATCTTAGGAATCACCTTATTTAAACGTATAATGGAGGCTTTACATCTAACTTAACTTTTCGGGGCATCATCATGCATAGAAGCATTATCTTCATGACAGCAACCAAGATGTACATTTTTTTAGTTTTTTAGATGGTAAAATGTGTTCAGTTGGTCAGTAAATCGATAAACACCGAATTCGAAAAATGTCCATACCAACTAAAGTTATTACCTTATTTGGAAAGAAGGATTTGCGATGAGTCAAGTTTGAAACTTGGACGGATGAAATAGGTCAATTCTGTTACACCACCGGTGTGCCAATACTACCTAACGCATCACGTACGTGTGAAGTTCCGACAATGTTAAAATAAACTCAAGAGTACGAATACTTAAAAGCATTTTAAAAGTACTGCGTACCGGTTTTGTGTGCAAGGGTGTATGTGTGCGTGGGTAAGTGTGTAAACGTGACGATTTAGGCCCGAAGATAAGTGCCGAGTCTATGAAGGCCATGGTAATTTCCTTTATGTGTGCAATTTTATTTGAATAACCGCACATATTAAAAATAGGCCTATTTTAAGCGCGCTACAAGTTTAAGTATGCCGTTGTAGAATATTCATAGGAATATCAACAATACGTGATGGAGATTTACATTTTACTCTCAGTTACTGTATGCAAGGTTACTTACTGGATATTGTTTATATCATTCTCTCAAATCGGTTGAACTAGGCTGTGTAGGCCAAGTTTGATGTACAATTAGGTAATAATAAGCAAATTATTGTCGAGCCACTAGGGCTCATAGTGGTGGCGCTTATCCCCAGTTTCTGTAGCATGAAGTGGATGAGAGTGTAATACTCTACCTGTGTGGGACAATGGCCCACTACAGTTTAGCCTACTCCCAGCAATTTGCTGGTACAGTACATATTCATACCCCTGGGCAGACTGAAGAAAAGTAGATAAAGTGCTTTGCTTAAGGACACAATCGAAATACATAGCGAAGGATTGAATCCCCTGCCTCGAGGCTTGGAATCCGAAACCAAACCATCCCTTTAGGTTCCTCCAAGTGCGCACCACTCCAACAACAAACACCTTAGAGCTACTACCACTCAAACACACTATTCTCATTAAAGACCAACGTTCCTTTTTTTGTTCAAGTCTATGTCTTCAGAATTATCGACTTTTGTTCAATAGCAGTCCTGAAATCCAGTTAATCGTGGAGGTATAAATAATTATTGTCGAGAAAATATGTAACTTGATCAGTTAATCTGAGTTATTGTTCACTTGGTATCTTTAGAGAATTTTGAATTGATGCGTTAACTTCTGCACTTTTATTAACGATGAATAAAAAATGACTGTCAAGTCAAACTAAACAATGGTTATACTATTAATACTATGCTATGGTGTGTCCTTGAAGTTATATCATTCTGATGACATAGTGTTATATAGTTAGATCTGGTTTATTGTGTCATTGTCTCTTAATCGTTGCTGATTTTAACCTTCTATTGTTGTTTTTATCCTGAAATTCTATTATATGACATTTGGAGAATAATAATACATATAATAAATATTAAAATATCAATAAATATTACTAATGATAGTATTAATTAAGGTAATTATAATAAAAATGTAATAATATTTAATCAAAATTAATAATAATTGTACCATTTTTAAAAACAAAAACATTTAACTTTGTCGAAATAATCTGATTGAATTAAAATAATTTCGTTATATATTAAATCATTTCTTGGTTTAAATTGAATTTGCTAGTAAAAGTATCTTCAGGGTCAAACTAAAATTGACACACTATTCTGTTTGAAAAGTTGGACAACTTTCAAAGAAGTAATAAAGATGTTCTGGCTATGCACATTACCTCACTGCTAAACTAGAGATCTGAATCTACTATTAATAACGCAGTATCAAAAGAATAAATGTAATCCAATAGTGTTTACCTAACTCAATTAAAATTTAATTAATAATCGGTTATTAGGACTAATAACTCACTCCATGAAAAATGTCTAGAGTGAAGTTTTTAGGCCTACTTTAATGTGATGCGGGCACTTTTAGAGTTTCCATAATTTATAAAGTAAATCACTTATCAAAATGTACATATCCTAGTTAGCATAATCATTCAATAGAGATAAATTTGAGACGATTTTTAAGGATCTGACTATAGGAACCATTTGATACGATACAGAGCAAATTAGTATTTTTAAAGTTTTTCATTGAATTTGTTTTTCCATAGTCTTATTGATTGTTTAAAATTGAATTCATTAGTTATTAGGAAAACCGATTTGGTTTGGTTTGTTATCTTCCAATATTCCACACTGTTGTTGATTCTTTCGTTTTTTAATTCAAAAGAAGAGAATACATATATCCTAAAATAAAATATGTTAGTTGGTAGCTACAACTCGTACGAATAGCAGAGTGTAGCAGGATGGTGAAACTAATAAAGAAAACATTCAATAACACATAAGTACGAAACATTTAATGTGTAATGCTTGGGTTTCTTCAAAGATTGTCAAATACTCCCGTACTAATTGAGTTTTGGTTTTGAAAAATAGAAATCAATCGAATATTTTGGATGATTTGTTTGTTTGTGTTTTTTTTTTAAGAATGTGACGTTTTAGAAATATCAATGTAGGCCTATGTATTCTTGTATGTTCACTTGTTAGATGTTTGCTTTATAAGCCAATGTGAAGGTTTGCAAGCGCTGTGTATTGCAGGCACGTTGGCGATGTTGGCGTTCTTAGTCCGACACATGCGTTTCCTGTGGATGTTTTTCAACACCTTGAAAATTAGAACCGAAGATTTTTGTTTTTCTAAATTTGGGAGTTTAACTGCAAAATGTGTTTTGATGTGGCTTCAAGTAATTTCCAATAACGGAGATCGTTGATTTAGATAAAATAACAAGAATCGGATGTTTCTGCTGCTTCAAAACACGTGTGAAAATAATATTAAACGTGGACAACATTATTAAGTTTACACCTTATAGGTATTTTCAGATAAGGTCTACGGCTGGTAAAAAGAGCAGGGGGATACGTGTACGCATAGAGCCCAAAATGTATGACGAAAATACTTTAATATTTAAATCCTAGAGATCGTTTTTCTTTGGTGGATAATGAACCGTCCCGCTAAGCCCCACCTCTTCTTAGATGTTGTTGCTGTGGTCCCACAAAAAATAGAGTAAATTTACAAACGTGCGTTTGTGGGACAACACATACGCTTATACGCTTGAAGGACACGTGTGTTTTCTTGGCTCTGTTCTGATTGGTCATTTGTTAAGTTTGATTGACACTCCGGAAAGGTCCATTTCTTATTTTACCCATAATTCTACCGGTTCACATACTTACGGAGTGTCTGTAGTTTCTGCTTTAGTCTCTGTTTTTGTCTCTGCCTCTGTGGTTGCTGCCGTAGCCCTGTCTCTTATACACATCTTTAAGGTAATTATAATAAAAATGTAATAATATTTAATCAAAATTAATAATAATTGTACCATTTTTAAAAACAAAAACATTTAACTTTGTCGAAATAATCTGATTGAATTAAAATAACATTTGTTCCGATAATATTAAGGTGAATAATCAAATAGAAATTGCATGCTAATTAGACTCATTTACATATCCTTAAGCCCTGTCCAGATTATCAAATTTTATTTGAAAAAAACATGCGACATTCTTAAATATTATGATCACGATGACATAGCATCCTAACCATATATAGGCACATCATGACTATATATGGGAATACAACATATTTTGTTAAAGAAAATTTGATTATCTGAACAGGGCTTAAGGCTGAAAAGTCTGTTCCTTTGGAAATTAGCTTGCTCCGGTATATTTGCAAGTAAAATTTTGGTCGCAATTCCTTCAACTGCGACTGAGCCTTTAGAAATAATAGAAAGATGCTTTGAAAAATTATCAGTCAATTTGCTGAAATCTTTAGGTGCATATCAATCCACAAGACTTTTTTTGTGAAGTTGCAGCAGCTGCTTATATTTACATTTTCCGCTTTCTGATAGCACGGTATAGTCGCAGACAAGATAAAATGAAAGAAGATAAAGATTATATACCTGTATGGTATGAGATACAAACACAATGAGTTGAAATCGTGGAGAATGTTTAAAATTAAAATTTAAAAGGTATATATTCGTGGACTTATAGAGTCTTAACTCATAATGGTAGTACATGTTGCGGTTATTAAGAAAGATTCAACGACTTGAAAACTTGGGTACAAATTTGTGACTTCGACTGTAACTTGCAGGCTACCCTATTCCAAGGGCATGCCTGGAGTACCCTCAGATCGAACCCTGGTAACATTTGGCAGAATAATACAAAGGGCAAGGTTAAATTGCAAGTCTGATAAATGCCCTGCTGAATTGAATTAGTATAATAAGGCGAGTGCACGCTGTGATAACAGACGACCTACACAAGTCAGGACTCGAGGCCCCTATCATGATTAGCAAAAAAATCTAGATTCGTATTTTTGTACGGATTTGATATGAAGCTAATACTATTAAGAACAGATACAGAGTATTGGAAACATAAAATATCGCAAGCTGTATTCATATTTAATAAAAAAAAAAAAAACTTGTCGAACGAGATTCGGTATCATTTACGATATAAGTAATTCCCTGCGTCAGAAAATCATTCTACATGTCAAACCATGTTTATCTAACTTTGCGGTTATTACAGTAGAGGGACTGTGCAACGAATTGTTGGTTCACTCAGACCGTGCATCTGTCAGCTAGCTCGTATAGGAACTACGTGAGCGTATAGAGGCTGCGTGCTACCAGCAGACGGCCAATCGCAGTTGAGGCGTACCGTATTAAAGCAAGAAGAATGATAAACGGTTTAAATATGGTCAACAAAGTAGTAGTAATTCGTTGATACTTAAAAAATCTGATGCGAGTTGTACCTAAAAAGTGTTTCTATAAACTGAGATGACGTATTTTTGCCTTAGGGTAATTGCAATAATTATTGATAACCATACACATCAACAAAGAATGTAGCACACACAAATGAGAGCGTCCAATAACATTAGGCAATTGATGTTGATAGGTCTGAAAAGTATGCAATCAACAGCTATCAAAAGTATATGGACCAACTCCCACTATGGGAAAATAACTTAAGTACATGATACTAATACTGTATTGGCCTAGCTAGTACGACTCATTTGTTGACAATTAACTAACGGATTTGCACAGAAAGTTGCTTGGATTTTTAAAATGTTGGATATATATCCAAATGTAAGTTATTTATGTAGCACATCATTATCAATATATTTAGGTCAACTGGCATTGCCAACAAACAACGTATTTTTTTATTACGATTTTTTCCCATTTGCAATCTTTGTTTCAAAATGTGCATGTGATGGGGAAGTCGAGGATAGATGTATGTAACAGGAAGAGGGAAGTCGAATTAAGTGCCATAATATATTTCTTCCTCTGTGTTACGTGGACTGACAAGTGTTCGAGATTCTCCAACACCGCTCATTTCCCTACTTCCTCACTCAGAAGCGTATCATTACATATTTAGCATATCAGAGGGTTTGTGAATTTAGATTTAGCACTTAGTAAACATCCGGGAGATCTAAAGACGGTAGACTTAATGGCTCATTTTTGCTCAATCAGATATCTATCTATGAACTAAAGAAAAAAAAATGTCTGTTTTCCAGATATTTTTTCATTTGACCTGCTTTTTTCATTTTAAGGAGTAAAACTTTAGGGAAAAACGCAAGGTCGCTCCGATGTATTCACCAACCTCGATGTACTAAGAATCATTAGTGGTAGGCCGGTTTTGCAAGCATTGCATTGGTACTTCATTTCGTCGCTCACATCACGAACTAACACAATTAAATTCAATTGTGTTAGTTCGTGAAATCAAAAAAGCGCGTCAAAATACGCGCTGTTGTTGTTAAGGACTTTTTGTGTGGTAAAGAATACAAAATTGCTTGACAACCAATACGCGCTCGTTTTGACGCGCTACTGTGATTTCACGGACTAACACAATCTACTTTGATTGTGTTAGTTCGTGATGTGAGCGACGATTTAGGTGAGCATCTGGACACTGTATTTTAATTACCTTTTTCTCATATGGTTCACATTTTATGGTGGCCATCTACAACATTATATCACCTGTAAGCCTGCTAAAATGCATGATTGACCAGATAAGCCTCTAAAAAAATGTGCTATGTTTGTGTACCAAAGATCAGGTCTCGAGACGTTACTGAGTATTATTTGGAGGCTTAGGTAATCATAGATTAGATAAATTATGTATTCAGTTTTTACACGCTATTTTGGTACAACAAAATATGTTAACTAAAAGGTTTGGTACATTAATTTTGATATGCTTCTTCAAGCTACAGAAACAAGCGCTTTCCAATCAGTTCTATGAAAGCAAATCAAATACCCGTCATTCAAAAGGGTACCATCAAAATCATGTTAAAAACCAATAAACATGCCGAAGAATAATAACGAATGGTTAATGCATTTAAATAGTATTGATGACGTTGTATCGAGAAAGTTCCCATAGAGGCCACGTTGTTTGATGTTTAACAGCCTCCAGGGTTATAATTTATTTACTATACCTAAATTATACTTTGGAATTTATAGAGTTGTTCAATACTATTATTACTAAGCACTGTGAATTCGATTATATTGTACGGATAAAGTATCTTCGAGAGAGGCGTCACCAGCAGAAATATATGACAATATGCGGTCAATGGATAAGCCCCTCAAGGGATTCCAAAAACAATAGCGAATGTTCTATTTCCATAATACGATATTTTCTATAAATGTGGACTGAGTATTGGCTTCGGTAAGTGGTCTCTTGGGTATTTCCAAGCCTTGAAATCGTCTGGAAAGACAATTTTTAATATCTGTAGGCCTGTGGTTTTGTACGAGTACACTGTAAAAGTTTTAATAAGCCTAAACAATGTGTATTAACAGTGACCTCGACTACAAACTTCTTAAGAAGCCACATAGCCCTACGTTACGCTATTATATATATATATATATATATATATATATATATTATATATAAGATGCGATAATATGCTATAACGAATATGACGTCATACATTAATATACTTGCCCTGCCTGAGAGCGCGCTCCCTAGTTGTATGCAACTACACCTCTTAACATTAAACTCCTTGTTGAAATAGTTAATAGTTTAATGTAATCTTCGGTACACTGAATTTTAAACATTGTATCTAGGATGGTAGCTAACTGCTAATTTCTCATGTTACACGAAAAAAAAATCAAATTTTACCGGATTTGCAAAACTTTAAAGTACTAAATATCCTTATATTTGCAAGTTCTGGTAGAAGTACTGCCTGTTGGAAAACGCTACATTTAAATTGCGCTGAAAGATACCGTATATATGAATTCCGTCTCACCTGAAGAATAAAGCAGTAGCTGTTTGGAACAGTTCCCCTCGAAGTTTTCTGGTCCTGTATGTTCAATCCAATAAGAATCAAGACTTGAAAACCTCACTCGACTCTAAAATAAGTTTCGGGACGGAGATTATATACGCATGCATAAGCCGCACCCAAAAAGGAAGTAGCCGCTAGATATGTAGCCAGCGCTGATTGGTTGAATGATTATGAGTCACAGAAAGGGTCATTTATAGTCTGCAGAAATACATGTCTGATAAAAAAAAGTGTAGGTCTAAATAGGCCTATATTTAGAATTTCTAAACTTCAGCCCCGTGTCTATTTAGTTTGTAAAAATAAAGGGCATTTTGAAGTTGCGAATCAAAGTTGACATATTTTGGTTAAACAATACTGTGTTGGTATGGAGACATTGTTATCGCAATTCAAGGTATTACATGCACGTCGTCTGATTAGTTTTCCATTCAATTAGAATTTCGTTTTAGTTACATTGGCATTCATTCGTTTTTATTTATAGCATTAAGAAGTAAATAAACGCTGTTGATATATTTGTTCTGTTTGTTTTTAATTATAAGCCTAGGCATGTGTGAATCGTTAGGGATTTACCGGTAAGCGTTCTACTTTGTTCTACTTATGTGTGTTCCATAGATGTCATGCAATTCCTAATATTTATTTACTTCTTATCGCTAAGTTTTGCAGCACTTTTCTTTTGTAGATCTTTGAGCAGTGACAAATTTCTGCTCGATTTCTTTGACAAATTGACCTAGATCAATCGTAAAATTAGGTACCACGCAATCCTTCGCACTAGTGATATCGGTATTCTTTTATCTGTCATGTATTTATTTATTTTAATATATCATCAATCCTCTTTTACAACCACCAGTATATCTTATGCTGAGTGCATGTTCAATTTTTCTACTACTTATGTGTTAAACATGTCAAAATTTTCAATCTATCCACAGCGGCAGACGTAATCCTCCCCCCTCCCTATTTCAAAATTATATTTAAAAAAAATGGAGAAAAAAGAAAATTATAAAAATATAT